TGTGTGTGTATGTGTTTGTATATATAAAGGGCAGCTAGATGGCTCCACAGTTAAGAGCACCCCCTGCTCTCCTAGAGGATCCAGGTTCAGTACTCCGCATTTTTCAGTACCTGCACCTGCTTTAGGTGATGCACAAATGCCCTAACGGTAGCGCTAGCGATTTCAACATGAGTCTGGGTCCCCCCAGCAGGAGCTCAGGAGCACACAGACACCAAACAGATAAATAGAAACAAGGTTTTACCCCACCCCCCTTCAGGTTAATTGGCTCTCTGAGCTATAATCTCACAGTGACTAAAGGTGTTAACGGTTTGCGCATTCACACAAGCCTTCCTGTAAGTACAATGCTGAGGTTTTTTTTTTAATAATTATTTATTATGTATACAATATTCTGTGTGTATGCCTGAAGGCCAGAAGAGGGCGCCAGACCTCTTTACAGATGGTTGTGAGCCACCATGTGGTTGCTGGGAATTGAACTCAGGATCTTTGGAAGAGCAGGCAATGCTCTTAACCACTGAGCCATCTTTCCAGCCCCAATGCTGAGGTTTTGTGATCTTTCTCCCTCACTGTTACTTACGTTATTCCTTTTGTTCTTTGAGACAGAGTCTCGTTTTGTACCCTTGGGTAGCTTTGTCACTTAGGCTGCCCTTGAATGCCAGATCTTCCCGCCGAAGCTCCCCAAGTGTTAGCATTACAGGTATACTGTACCACATTTGCTTAATAGTTTCATATTAGCGTCATTCTTTGTTCTTTTTGTTTTTCCAGAGTTTCTGTGTAGCCGTGGCTGTCCTGGAACTCACTACGCAGACCAGGCTGGCCTCACACTCAGAGACCCGCCTGCCTCTGCTTCCTGAGCGCTGGGATTAAAGGCATGCGCCACCACCGCCAGGAGAATGTCATTCTTATTATGTTACTATCAACATGACTTATAATTGGTATGTTTAGTTGGGCGGTGGCAGCAGTATGTTAAGGAATAAAAATATTTGAATTGTAGTGTTCTAGAACAAAATTATAATTACTTACATCAATTTTATTGTTTTTGTTTCTTCTCATGATGTAGCCTTGGCTGGTAAACCAGGCTGACTTTGAGCTCACAGAGATGTACTTCTGCCTCCTAAGTGCTGGGACTGGCAGCATGCATGACCACACCCGGTTTGTTTTCACTTCTTTTGAAACAGAGTCTTTGAGGCTCAGTCTGGTCTCAAACCCAGTGTGAAGATGAGGCTGCCCTTGACTTCCTGGTCTTCTGGCTTCAGCCTCCCTGGTGGTGGGATGTGTTCCTGGTGTGTACTGGTGTGTGCCGCCGTCAGTCTCAATTGGCTTAGAGGACATTTTCCTCTAGTTTCCTCTAGTGTCTGAAACCGTGGATGTGGACCTCTTTTCCGTCCTCTAGCAGCACAGTGTCACAAAAGAACTCTACTTTTTAACTTACCCAGGTAAGAATGACATACTGTCCCAGCAAAAGTCCTTAAAAGGTTGAGTAAGTTAAACTTTATATGAAAAAATAAAAGGGTTCGCCCACTGATTTAATTTTTCTCATCTGATGGAAAACTGACCAAAAACCAAAGCACCTGCTATATGCTATACTCAAGAAAACCTATAATCCAGGTGTAATGCATGCACCTTTGATCACAGCACCTGAAGGCAGAAGAAGGTGGATTTTGTGAGTTTGAGGCCAGGCTGTTCCAGGATAGACAGAGCTACAAAGAGAGACCCAGTCTCAAACAAACAAAGAAAACCTACAGGGGCTGAAGAAATGGCTCAGTAGTTCAAAGCACCTGCTGGACTCAGGTTCTACCCACATGGGTCCAGGATCAGGGGTTATGATTCCTTCTCTAGTCCTCTTTGGGCATCAAGCATGCACTTGGTTCAAAAACATACAAATGCAGGCAAAACACCAATACAAA